TATAAATTTTTTTTATGCAATACATATTTTTTTAATGCATCAAACCAAACAATGTATAGAAATAATCTATGTATAATTAATGCTAGCATAACTAATACATCATTGTTACTGCAAGATTACTAATACACTCTATTTAACATTATTGTTATACACTCTACCAAACGACATATACACATTGTCCATCAATTTTTCATCAAAAATATACACATAAAAGTCCAAGAAACTTCAACACTCGCACAAAAAAAAATTATTCTATACTTCCAATTTTTTTTTATAAACTTTCTTGAAAAATAAAGACTCTCAATTAAGAAAAACGAGATTTTATCGGACAATTCCAAGTTAAGAACAAATGACAACAATGGTAAACTGAAATTGAAAACTTCGATACATTTTCATGGAACATTATGTATTTAAAAAAAAAACTAATTAGCTTTAAAAATCGTGCATAAACTAAAAGAAATGAAAATATTAAAAATAAAATATTTTTGGCATGGCACATAGGTGGCACTAATTAATGTAGCAATGACATGATGCGCGTGTAATACACTCTCCATTGTGAGTGATATTTAATTCACTTCAAAAATATTAAGGGGTAATAAATATGTGTATAATTAAAGTGCTAAAATAAATTTGACTGTTAAGTTCAAAAGCGAATTGATATATATATATATATATATATATATATATATATATATATATATATATTTGAATTATTAATGTCGTGTGGATTGAGGAGATAAGTTCACGTGGACTAAATAAAATGACACATCATATTTTATTAGCCAAATTTTAATAAGACAACTTTTGAGGTGATATAGACAAAATTGAAAAACCTTGTTAAAATAAAATAAAATAGACTTTAATAAGTAATTTTTAAAAATTGGGCCTGAGTCCAAAAAAGTAGTTGTGTTGAAACAAATACCAATTAATTCATTAATTACGTGATTTCTTTATATGTAAGTTATGTACTACAGTACAAAAGAATAAGAAAAGACTAAGCTAGTTAGTAGTAAACGTTATTTATAAAATAAAACCGTTCATTCTTGTGAGCTTCCATTAATCAGCTTAGTTTTATCTTTGGATTGGTTTAACAAGGTGAGTTTTACTTTAATTTGAGATTTTCTTATATAATTTTTGTGCAATCCCCAAAAAGAAAAGAAAATTGAAACAATTTATTTTTTACTAGATGCAGGAGGGTGGTATTTGTTCAAATTTTTGCCCTAAAAAAGGAATGGTGCTTCAAGAGAGTTACAAATTTCACCTGTAAGTTGTGTAAAAGCATCCCAATTTTTTTGATTGTTTTGGTTTTGTGACAGTATATATATCTGTTTGTTACTGTGTGTTTGATTAATTCTTTCATCAAATAAATTGCGCGTGTGTTTGTTAGTTGAAATAAACTTAATCCCCCAAACCTTGAAAACTTTCTATTGTATAGTCAACACTCAACATCCTCTTCCAATTCTCACCAAGATTTACCTTTTGATCTAAAAGTGAAGAATGGAAGTGAAATGAGAAAAGAAACAAAAGGGGAAATGGATTTTATTTAACCTAGATCTAGGAGTTTACGTCCGATAAGAAACTACTTAAATTGTATCAACAAAAAGTATCGTAAGACGGTGGTAAAGAACTTTACACGATTAAGGCCTGATCCTCACTTTCAATTTTGATATATACGTTCTTCAAGTTAATTATAATTGAATTAAACTTATCAAGATGAGTTTTGACCAGTGGACCTTCGTTCATACGAAGATTGTACAACCTATTTTTCAAGTAGAGGCAGCTTGTGAGTGATTTCTTAGGTTACAGATCTTCTAACTTCTTCCATGCCGTTGTAGATTTCTCTTCAGTAATTTCTCCAATAATGCTATCTGTAATGCTCATAAAGATCGCACTCAAAGCCCTTTCCTTCAGGTCTGCTTTGTCTGATTCTTTCAACTCTTTTGGAAAAGCCTCCTCAATTTCCTGCCATAACCCTTCCAACACCAAGGACGATCTCATTCTAATCTTCCACAAACTAAAACTAGACCCCCCCCCGTCGAATTTCATTATTTCATACTTTGTTGAAGATGATGAAGACGTCTTAATACTTGTTTATGTGCAGAAATCCCAATGAAGTTCTGATATCAATATTAAGTTTGAATATGAAATGAATGCACTTGACCAAATAAGTCGTAATACGACACGTGAATCAGTCCAAGTATACTTGATTTCTACATTTGGTGATGCTTAAGGATAGCTTACGAGTTTCATCAAATGTTGATTGCCATTTTTGGAATTACTCTCTTGCACTACTTTGATTGATTACCATTTGTGGCATTAGTACTCTTGCACTGCTCAATGATCATCCTCTCAAGTTTCATAGAATGAGCAAGCATGACTTGTATCAAGTACATTTCACTAGTTGTCCCCTTGAATTTCCTTAACCTCACTGTTTGAATCATCATCAGAGCTTCACTTGCTTCGTTTTCTACCTCGGACAAGTAATCAAACAGTTCCTTTGTGTGATATTGTTTCATAAACCCAAGAAAAGAATCATATTGTATAATGTGGTCAATGTTTCAAAAATTAGTGAAGCTTATGTATATATATATATATATATATATATATATATATATATATATATATATATACAGTTAAACATACACATTTTATAAACAAGAAATCCAGAGGGCCGGGGCATAGGTTAAAATTCTTCAAAATACCAAGCTTCTATATATATGCAGCACATGATTCAAACCCCCGACATGTGCCTAATCCACATAGCGTGCATTGTAGTCTTACCACAAGAGTAAAGTCCCGGGCCTGTGTGTACATATATATACTATACATAGACACACACACACACAATAGGCTAAGTGCACAGGTGATACATTTAACAGAAATCTTTAAGTCACAAATTCTCAGGCTTTGAAAGCTTAGTGATACATCAAGCCTATCTAGTATAGATACCGACCAGATAGTTAGTTCACAAGCAGAGGTGGTTAATCCTATCAAATATTGGGTTCACATAAGAGCACTTAAATTTAACTGTATAACTGGTAAGGATTGATAAGTTCATAACCTTTGGAGAAACTATATCAACAAGATTAACATCGACACAATATTTCAACTCCAAAGTCTCAAGTATTGGCATAATAAGAGTAATGTTTATTGATCCTGCAAACTGTTAATTGTTGAATGCTCTAACTGAAGGCTAACAAGATTGGGGGGATCTGTGCTAAAGTGTATGTCTTGGAGATAAGATGAAATCCCAGTATAGGTCCAATTTGTTTCATGAGAATTTTACGGATTATGCTCAAAGCAGAATCCTCTTTATAGATACATACTGAAAAAACTAAGGATCAAACACATGTTAGGTTGTGTAAACCGTAACTGCATCCAATTTTTTGATAAGATGTTAGCTCTTGCAGCATATTTTATGAGGCTGAGATCTAGTATTCTATGTAGTATGTTAATTGGTAATTCACAAATAATAGACTTGCTCAAATTACTAGATATCTTGCTTCTAGCACATTGATTCATATAAATAATTGTCTTATTATAGAAATCTGAAATAAGGAGTTCTTTCATAAAAATGTGAAACTTTGAAAGAATTTTTGTGAGAATTTGAATGAATGGGGCCGGTTTAAATAGGATTGGATCTATAAATTGTTTAGAAAGGAGAAAAGTAAAAGGGAAATGGCCAAATGACTGAATTAAATTTTAAGTAAAACATAAATGACTGAATTAAATTTTAAGTAAAACATACTCCCTCCATCCTGAAATAATGTCACTTTAGAGTTTAGCCAAAAAAAATTGTCCCAAAACAAGTGTCATCATACGAATTCGGGACAAAAATTAGTATGCTTTTTCAACTATACTCTTGTATTAAAGAACTACTACTTCTTAATAGCGCTCAATTATTAAAAAAAAAACATCTAATAAATAGTGGAAACTTAGTGAACTACCCCTTCAATTTATTATTTTCCTTAATGGGTGTGAAATGAGCTAAAATAATACTTATTTTGTAACGGAAGAAGTAGCAGTTATGTTGTTTCCGGTCAATGCTCATTTTTCCAACTGTGAAATCATATTTATCCCGGTGAGTACCTTCTTCTTGTTCACTCCGCCCTGGTGCCACATGTCCCCCCTTTCTCTTAAATGTAGCTATATATATAGGCACTAATTACTTTCCAAGAGCCACATACTATACACATCACACTTCTATGTATAGTATGTGGTTCTTGTCAAGTAATAAGTGCCATATATATTGCCACAAAATTTAAGAGCAGGGGGACACGTGGGACAAGGGTGGAGTGAACGAGAAGAAGGCATGCACGGGGATAGATATGATTTCACAGTTGGGAAAATGAGTATTGACCTGAAACGACACAACTATATACTACTACTTTATCCCAAAATAGGTATCACTTTAGCTCATTTCACGCCCATTAAGGAAAATAATAATTTGAGGGTATAGTTTACTAAGTTGCCTCTATTTATTAGATGTTTTTGATAATTGAGCACTATTAAAAAGTAGTAGCTATTTAATATAAGAGTATAGTAAAAAAACATACTAATTTTTAAATATTATAGTTAAGAATGATTCTACGTGATCTGGAGCAAAATGACATTGAAGCTACTGTCATTAAGGTTGACAACAAGTCAACAATATCTATGGCCAAAAATCCAGTGCAACATGGTCGTAGCAAGCATATAAATGTGAAGTTTCATGCTATCAGGCAAGCAAAGAATGATGACGAAGTTAAACTTGTTCATTGCAGCTCAAATCAGCAGATTGCAAACATCATGACCAAGGCACTTTTTAAGGGGAAATTTGAAGTTCTAAGGGCTAAGTTGGGAGTATCCAAGAAAAATCTCGTAGAGTGTTAGAAAATGAGATATTTCTAGATAGTCTTTTGTTTAGTGGTTTCTTTTTAAATATTATGTTTAGTTTGGAAAGGTAGTCCTTGTTTTATGGAATATGATTTGTAAGAAAGTCGATAGTGGTTAAATAGGTAATGAAATATGCACATCTCAACCAGGCAGTTGTAGGATGCATCCTTGAGGAGCAAGACCGATTCATGCCTGACGTGGGTAGAATCACGCATAGGACCCTTCCTCCACATGCCAAGATATCCGATGACAGCAAACGGACTATGCATGAATGTATCTCTGTGTTCATATGCTTAATAACATGCGAAGCCAACGCTAGTTGCTAACGTGAATAGCGGAACACCATCACCGTTGAAGATGTGCATTGGGTCATTAGCAAGTTTGGTTTTGATGAATACATTGAACCCTTGCCTTTGTACTTGCCTCGTTATCGTGAGCATGGTGGTGGTGAGCGTGGATCCCTGATAGATGAGTCTTTGTTGAAGCATCCAATAGTTGATGCAGCTTCAGGCTGCAACATCACGCCCTATCACCCGCCTCGTAATTTTCCTATGGCTCATCACCACTTTGTGTATCCACCACCAATGGGAAGTGGTGATATGCAAGGGGATGCATCAAATGCAAGCACTTCTCAGTGTGTAATGGATAGTGACGTTGAGTCTCCTACGGAGGACGTAAGGAGTGATCAATTTCTCTATTGAAGGAATTAATCCGTTGTTGAAACTTTAAGAGTAGTGAAGAAAGTAGGTTGTCCTTTCTATGTTACCTAATCTAGTATAGTTCTTAATTGCAAAGTTTAGGAATGTTTCTTTCGAACTGAGTGAGCCAAAGGGTGGTTCGTCCAATTGTATGTTTGTTTATGTGTGTATATGTATGTGTGTGTGGTGGAAGTGCTCAACCACTTGAACAAGCATCACCTGTCCTTATTCTGATATATATATATATATATATATATAGATTGTGCAATGCATTTGTAAAAGTAAAAGAGAAGCTAGGTAGCATACCAAGGGAAGGGGAATGTGCAGGGGTTGGTTGTGGAGATCAGAATAAGGACAGGTGACACTTGTTCAAGTGGTTGATCACTTCCACCACACACACATAAACATACACACATAAGTTACCATCCAATTGAAGGGGCCACTAATTGTCTCACTTAGTTCGAAAGACACATTCCTAAACTTCACAAATTAAGAACTATCCTACATTAGGCAACATAGAAAAAATAGTCTACTTTCTTTATTGCTCTTGAAGTTTCAACAACTTAATTCCTTCAGTAGAGAAATTGATCACTCTTTAACCCCCTCCGCAGGAAACTCAACATCACTATCCACTGCACATTGAGAAGTGCTTCCATTTGATGCATCCCAATGCATGTCACCATTTTCCATTGGTGGTGGATACACAAAGTGGTGATGAGCCATAGGAGAATTAGGAGGCAGATGATAGGGCATGATGCTGCATCCTAAATCGGCATTAACTATTGGACGCTTCAAAAAATACTTCTTTCTCAGGGATCCATGCTCACCACCGTCATCTTCACAATAATGATGCAAATACAAAGTCAAGGGTTCAATGTTGTCATCAAAACGAACTTGCTCATGACCCAATCAACATTTCAATGGTGATGGTGTTTCGTTGCCCATGTGGCTTCTCATATTATGAAGCATATGAAAAATCAAGGGATATAAGATACATACCGAAAAATCAGGGGATCAAACACAAGGTTAGGTTGTGTAGACCATAACTGAGTCCAATTTTTTTATAAGATGCTAACTCTTGCAGCATATTTGTCGGGCATGAGATCTAGTATTCTATTTAGCGTGTCAGTTGGTAAATAAAAAATAATAGACTTGCACAGATCACTAGATTTCTTACTTCTAGCACATAGATTTCTCTCAGAAGTATTTTATATACAAATTTAGATAATTACTTCAACATGAATTGAGGGGTCTATAAATATTTGCCCCAGTATGGTCCTCTGAAATGAGGAGTTTTTTTCATCAAAAGGTACAACTTTTGTTTGAAAATGAGATATTTCTAGATAGTCTTTTGTTTAATGGTTCCTTTGAAATATTATGTTTAGTTTGTAACGGAAAGGTAGTCCTTATTTTATGGAATATGTTTTGTAAGAAAGTCAATAGTGGTTGGATAGGTAAGGTGTCTACTAACTTTTGAAAAGCTTATATAACTACAAGCTAGTTTTGGGAATGTGCGTTGCATGTTTTTTTTAGGCATAATACATATATTGGACCCTAAACTTGGCTTCAAATTTTAACTTTGACCTCCAACTTTCATAGCGCACAAACAGACACTTTAATTATCCAACTTTTAAATAAATAAACACGCGATTTTTGCAGCCAAAGAGCATGAAATGCAAACGCTCCAACGTGTATTAGTGAGCCACTCAATGGCTGCCAACTAATTAAATATTTTACGTGTCGATTTTAGAACTAAAAAAAGTCAAAATTAATTTTAATTTATATACAAGAATCAAAATTAATTCCTCCTAATGGTTTTTAGAGCTCGGGCTTCATTGTTTGACGGAGCTTAGAGGTTTGTTGATGGCTGGCTTCTTGGTTTAGGTGTTTGTGGTTGTTGGGTCTGTTTTCATGGGGTTTTGGGGGTCATTTGGTTGCTGTTTTGTGTCTGGTTCAAGCTGCTGGTTGCAGCAGTGTTGTTTCGTGATGATTCTCGCCGGAGATGGCGGATCTGATGGGTTTGGGGTCGGGTATTTGGTGAGTTTAGTGAGCTCGAAGCTCGTTCGCTTCATGGGTTGTGCTCCGTGCGGAGGAAGAAGCAGAACAGCTGGGTTGGAGGTGTTTGGAGTTGGGGGCTGCTGGTTGTTTGAGGTTGAAGCCGGCTCGCTGGTGGTGGTGTGAGCGGAGGGAAGAAGAAGAAAATGAATGGAGGTTTTGGGTGGTTTCAAGTGGTGTTTGCTGGCCGGAAAAGGGAGGAGTAATGGATGTGTTTGTTCACTTGTTTGGGGGTCATTTGGTGGTGGCGTTTTGCCTGAAAAAGAAGAAAATGAATGGGGGTTTTGGGTTGCCGGAGATTGGCCGGAATCCGGGGTGGTAGAGTTGTCATTTCAACATTTTTTTATCGTTGTAGGCCTCAAAAATTACTCCTAACTCGCGCAGAATACGTGTACATCATGCGTTTTGCCAGGTAGGACTCACGTGTTTATTTATTAAAAGGTTGGATAGTTAAAGTGCCTGTTTGTGCACTATGAAAGTGGAAGGTCAAAGTTAAAATTTGAAGCCAAGTTTAGGGTCCAATATATGTATTATGCCTTTATTTTAAAATATTTAATACAAATTTTATATTGCAAATGACAAATTTTAAATGGTGCATATATTATTGGACTTTCTTTGTGCTATAAATACAAAACAATCATATAGAGAAAAAAGCAACACTTGTAAGTTAAGTGTAAAATCTTACAAGCTTGATGCTCTATTTTACTGATATATATAGTACTTTAATTTAAAGATAAATATATACTCGAATATATATAAGTGTTTGCATATATAACTAAAAAAATTAGAAATTAAAAAAGGGGGTGATTGTAGAGTAATTATCGCATAGCATAAAATGGAAATACAATGCCGCATATAAAAATATTAGGCATAATACATATATTGGACCTTAAACTTGGCTTCAAATTTTAACTTCGACCTCCAACTTTTAAAGTGCACAAATAGACACTTTAACTATCCAACCTTTTAATAAATAAACACGCGTGTCTTACCTAGCAAAACGCGTGATGTGCACGCATTTTGCGCGAGTTAGAAGTAATTTTTGAGGCACACAATAGTAAAAAAAATGCTGAAATGACAACTCTACCCTTAATTAATTAATTTTTTTTTAGTTCTAAAATGGACGTGTAAAGTGTTTAATTAGTTGGCAGCCATTGAGTGGCTCACTAATACATGTGGAAGCGTTTGCATTTCACGCTCTTTGCTCCAAAAATCGCGTGTTTATTTATTAAAAGGTTGGATAGTTAAAGTGCTTGTTTGTGCACTATGAAAGTTGGAGGTCAAAGTTGAAATTTGAAGCCAAGTTTAGGGTCCAATATATGTATTATGCCAAAATATTATATAGTTGCTAGTACAACCATGAAACCTAAAACTATGAATGAATGAGGTACCATTTATTATGTTTCATCAAGAACCTGAAACTGAAGATGATGGGGAAGAAGAGATTATGAAGATTATGTTGTCAAAGAAAATTATAACTCATAAGCACATAAAAGGGAAAATGCACAAGTACCCCCCAACCTATGCCCGAAATCTCAGAGACACACCTAACCTTTACTAAGGTCCTATTACCCCCCCAAACTTATTTTATATATAATTTCCTACCCCTTTTCGGCCTACGTGGCACTATCTTGTGGGCCCAACGCGTGTTGACAATTTTTTCAAGGATAGTGCCACGTAGGCCGAAAAGGGGTAGAAAATTATATATAAAATAAGTTCGGGGGGGGGGGTAATAGGACCTTAGTAAAGGTTAGGTGTGTCTCAGAGATTTTGGGCATATGCTGAGGGGGTACTTATGCATTTTCCCCACAAAAAATAATCATTAATAAAAACAATGAAAATTGAAATACAAATGAGACGTTAGTGAAAGGAAAAAGAAACACGAGAGATATTTATACTAATATGTATAGTGACTCTAAAATTATTCTTTCAAAATTATTAAAACTATGAAAGGTTTGAATAATTAATATATTGAATTTGGGCTTCTCATCTTAAATAATGGAAGGTTAAAAGCTTAAAGTGATTATGATGACTATTAAAATAGAGAAAAGACATAAAGTCACCACTGAAGTTGTCTCGAATTTTAAAAAAGACACTTTAACTTTTCGAGTGTCCTAATACCCCATGAAAATATTTGAATCCACAATAAATATACCATTTTGACTAATTTTAACATAACTCGTGTTGTCACGAAATATGGACGCGTGAAGGACTCTTGATACTGCTTCAGACTAACGTAAAATTGAGTGAAGGACTACGAATTCAAAATCAAGGTGAAATTACGCTAAAAAAACCCTAAGATTCATCTATACATCTTAAACTTTTAGCCAGAGACGCCTTTTAAAACTTTGGACATTTTTCATCTTTCTCACAGGCTGGAACACTCACAAGAACACAAAAAAAAGAAGAAGTCATAGCTGACTAGCTTTTGAATAATTTCATACATGTTTAGGCTTTAGCAAAGGTTGTTCATCTTTTCTTGTTTTTTGTGAAATAGCGAGTTCTAGATTTGGGATTGACAACGCCTTTAGTTCACTGCCCCACAAAAGGTGAAAATCTGAACTTATTCTTATTCATTCATTGTCGATGATTATTTTGTTGTTAGAAATTATGATTAATATATATATCACACTATAAATTTTGATCAATTTTTCAATTTGAACGGTCTACTGTATGTTCTCATATGCTTACGCGTCAGCCAAGAAATCTTGGTCTATCACTGATTAAGTTTGGTACTAAAAAATACATACGTTAGGAATATATTCATACTTAGTATTTTTGGTAACTAACATGATTTTATTAATCACCAGTGAAAAAACATTACAAAACCATAGCTTAGTCAAACTCAACTAGCTATCTCATAACTCATCTCTAACTGGACTATTTCAATTGTGCAGTACATCCTGCTCAAAACTGGAAATTCTGAATCAACCTATTTACATCATGTGTTGCTCGAGCACTGCAAGTATAAGCTATCTCCCGAGCAAGGCATTCGATCTCGTGACTTCTCTTCTAAAAAATTCTCGTGTTTCTTTCATTCCATATCGCATGAACTATCTCTGCATTTAGCATTCTGAATATTTTAGCTTGGACTGATTTTCCTTTTCCACGATTGAGACTCCATTCTAGATGTTGAGTCCATGATTGCGGAGTGATAAAAGTCTGACCAATCCAGTTTAGCAATCTATTCCACAGTTGGTTTCCATAAGAACACTCAGCAAATAAGTGATCTCTATCTTCAAAAGAGGACCTGCATAGCACGCACACAAGTAGGATCAACATTTAGTCCCCATTTATTCCGTCTTTCAGCCGTCAGCATCTTTCCTTGAAGGCATAACCACAACGTGAATGTAGCTTGTGGTCGAGCCTGGTTTTGGAATATAAGTCCCTTCCATCTAACTCGTGGTAGTTCCCCTAGCAGTTGTAGGTACATACTTCTCGTCAAACTTCGGCCAGGTTGAACAACGATATGCAATTTCTCCAAGATTATCCGAGCCCCCATAATTTTCCTCACCATCCAACACGCACTGCTAGGAATTACCATAGTAGCCAAGTCCTGCTTTTTTATATAATAGGCATTTATCCACATGTTCCACAATCTGTCCTGTTTGTCAGCTAGATCCCAGTGAAGTTTGGCTATAGCAGCTTGATTCCATAGATGTAAGTTAGGCAAGTTAAGCCCCCCAACTGATTTAGGACAGCAAACTTTATCTCATGCTACTAATGCTCTTTTAGTAATTGTATTGGATCTAGACCTTACATAACTTCTGTAGAATGCTTCAATCGTTCGAACCACCTTAGTAGGTAGTAAAAATAATTGAGCCCAGTAGGCTTGAATACCAAATATAACACTTTGAACCAATTGTACTCTTCCCGCATAAGATAATTTCTTTGCAGTCCATGAGGTGATTCGCCTAACAATTTTCTCAATCAAGGGTTGCCATTGTAGTAGGGTCAGTTTTTTTGTTGACAATGGTATTCCTAGATACTTGAACGGAAGCTCTCTGTCACGCCCCGAGCCTACACCCTGGGCGGGACCGGCACTCGGAGACCATTACTGGCCCCAAGCGAACCCTTGGCCTGGCTTTCTCAACTCAGCGGAAACCTACTCAATTGAATAACTCAAGCAGTGCAATATTTCAAAACAACTTAACTTATAAAAATATGGCCATAAGGCAACCCGAATCTCAAAATAGAATATTTACATATAAATATATAGATGAGAGACTCGAAACTAGCTGACTGACTGTCTGTCTGTCTATGAAGCCTCTAAAAATACTGAGATGGATGTTGGGACAGACCCCGCAACATCCTAAAAGACAAAGACTAAGAACACAAAATAATCGAGTCCTCCGGAATGCAAGGAGTCTCACCACTGACTCTGGAGTGCTCAGCTGGATCAACGATGAGCAGGATGCTGATCCGGGGTACCTGAATCTGCATCATCAAACGATGCAGGCCAACTGGCATCAGTACATGGAATGTACGAGTATGCGAGCGGGAAAACCAAAGCACAACTTAAGCTTGAAAGGAAATACAAGAGAACACTTACCTCGGCTCTGTACGACTCATGATTAACTGAACTCAATATATAAAGCAATAAGACGCATGCAATATATAAAGCTCATAAAACAGTACAAACAACTTAGCTTGTTAAAGATAAAACAATAACAACTCAACTATACTTATATAAAAGTAATATAACTTATGTGGGAGGTTCTTTAACCGACAACCATCACTATGAGCCCTAGTGATGATACAACGCTTTACCTCGCGTTGCCCGAGGACCATCCTATACCTTGCCGTGATATAGGAAGCTAACTTTACTTAGTGGATCCACTAGCTTAACTTTCGTGATCATCTAAAAAGTATGATCCGAGAAATCCCATGATGGCGCATGGTTCTTATGGAGAGTTAAGTCATTCAGAACTCGTGTCCCCAATTCGGTGCTCAATACTACTCCCAAAAAAATACTTTGGCTCATAAAAGTCTTTAAATGCATCTTTCTTTAGTTGAGATAATTAATCAAAACTCAGCCCAAAGGCTCTTTTGGAAAACACGGTTCCCCCCTTACTCAAATGTAACAACATTTATAAACTCCTTTGGGAATACTTAGTTCCCTAATTGCCTTTTGAAATGAACTCAACTTACAACTCTTGACTTAGCTTGAACTGAGACTCTTACTCGACTTGCAATCTATACTCTTTTACTTGACCTCTAACTTCACTTGACTAGGGACTTTCCTTCCTTGAATCGGAATTATGAATTCAAGTTGTTCGATCACATGTTATGGAGGGATTCTTGAACGCTTTGACGTACTTT